AGTTTGAGAAAGAGTAGAGCTAAAAAACAATTTCTTTAAAATGATATATGGGAACTAAGTATTCCTAAGAGTAAATGTTTTCACATTTTAGCAAGAGAGGAAACACTGATGTCCCAAAAGAGTTCATGAGCAGTTTTCAGTATTATCTTTTTTTAGAGAAATTTTTTTAAGTAATAATCTCAAACCACGTAAAGAGAAAATGTTATCTTTAAAACATAATGAGCTAAGTATATTTTGGAAGTAGTATTGAGCTCTGATATGGGGAGAGTTCATACAACTCATAGCCCCTATAAACCATGTATCCAACGTGGGTACAAAAGGGTCATACTTTTCAGATGATTCCTTAATGTTTTTAGCATAGACTAGTGGATCCACTCAGTAGTAGGTTCTATACCCCCGACAAAGTATAGAAAGGCTCTGGCAGCGTGGGTTAGACGTTGTATCATCACATAGATCATGGTGATGGTTATCGGTTAGAGAAACTCCCACAGAAATATTTTGTATTCTTATATACACAGAGTTTACTTTGTATTTTCAAATGCAAACATAGTTTATATTGTATCCTTGCATACAAAGAGAGCACATCGTATTTTTAAATACATGAAGTTGTTATCTACTATTTTAAAAGCTTTTCTTTATACTGCATGTTTTACTACTGTTGTATATTGAAATGAGTTAGTATCCTCGAGTTGAGGTGAGATGAGGTAAGTGTTGCTCAGATCTAGTTCAAGCTTATGTCATGTTCAGATTTCCCCTCACATGCTTGTACATTCCATGTACTGACACCATTTGGCCTGCATCTTTTATGATGCAGATACAGGTAACCAGGATCAGCATCCAATGCTTCGTTGATCCAGTTGAGCTTCAGAGTTGTTGGTGAGCTTCCTTGCTTCCGGAGGGTCCCTTATTTACTTTCAGTCATTTCATTTTGTTAGTAGGATGTCGTAGGTCTTGTCCCGACATCCATCTCAGTTACTAGAGGCTTCATAGATAGATAGACATTAGTTCATGAGTCTTGTTCATTTCAGTTGTTTTGTTCTAAGATTTAAGTTGCCTTTTTGTCCAGTTGAATGTTTTTAAAAGACATTCTAAGTTTATTGCATGAGTTTATCTTTTGAGACTATTTCATGTAAATTAAGTATTCCGCTAGTAGTTAAGCCAGACCAATGGTTCGCTTGGGGCTAACAATGGTTCTCGAGTGCCAGTCCCGCCTATGGTGTAGGCTCGGAGCGTGACACCGTGATGCGATGGTCAAAGGCCCCACCAATCTGCGAACGTGGCTCAAGGCCCACGAACACTGAACATAGTCCATGAGGTACCAACAAAGGTTGTATCAGCTGAACTTGATGTTGAAAAAAATGCCTCGACAGGGGATTGAGACTCGTTAGAAACCCTGTGCACACAAACAAACTATGTTATCCTACAAAAAATGACATTCAAAACTCAACAAAATTGATGAAACAACCAATGGAGGTCGTCTCGATACAATGTTGACCAAAGTCAACACTTACATTAAAACAACAAAAACAAGCATAACACACAACACCACGAAATCATTCCAATCACCTTGGGATTTGAATTAAATGTCGTTGTAGACCAAACCCAAAGTTTCGGAGCTAACGATGCTAATAAAAATCTCATTTGAGTCTGTTTATCAAGAATGTTGACCGAAGTCAATCTTTTGTCAAACTTTTCCAACATCTTGCCTAACGGCTCAAACTCACGCCGAAGACCTCGAGACCCAAACCGATCATGATAATAACCCAAAATAGACCTTCCAGAGCGGATGAAACTAATGAAAATCTCATACATTGTCAGATTCTCTAGACGTTGACCAAACTCAACTCTTTCAACCTAACCCCCCCCCCTTCCCAAACATGGGGAAACTCACCCAAAACTCTTTTGACCACATTGGAAAGCATTCCACCTATCTCAACACATCACAAACACTACATAGGAGCTCTACGGAAAGGGGCATAACATAATTTACACATGATAGCAAGTAGATGGCCGCGAGGGAACTCACTTTTTTTCTAAACTTTATACTTACAAAAATCGATGATTTAATCTTTCGTGCATAAGTTAAACTCTATATACTAAATTCATCAATTATAGGTTGTTAAAATGAGATCCAATTACATGAGATCTGCCCAACCCGTCCATAATTTTATGGGTTGAGCTTAAGATAATTTTAAGTTGGGTCAATCTCAACCCATTAAATCGTAATCCATTTTTAAACAATCTTCAACTAAACCCAATTTAATCTTTAAATTCAACCCATTTTTGTAAACTGTCTTTGCCCAAGAACTTTAAGCAATTATTCATGACAATATCAATTGCTGCTTGGAAATTTTGCAGATGTAGGAAACTAAATTGTGCACGAAAGAAATTTGTGCAATAATCTAATGGTAATTATATCTCTAATATTTTATTTTAGGGAAAAAGGGACAAATATACCTCTGAACTATCGTAAATGATATGCATGTGCCCCTGCCGTCCAAAAACTAGAGCATATATGCCCTCCACTCTAACAGAAGACTAAATAGGGACACGTGGCACAATCTTATCCGTCAATCCGATATTTAATAAATGTCGGGTGGGTGGATAAGATTATGACACGTGTATGTCCGTTAGTATAAATGGTATATATGCTCTAGGTTTTGGACGACAGGGACACCAATGTCCCAAAAGTATGACAGAGGGTATATGCATACCATTTACGATAGTTTGATGGTGTATTTTTCATTTTTCCCTTTATTTAACGGCAACTATATTCATGTAAAGTATTATATTTTAAGACATTTGAACTTCACACTGAATAAGAATCCAAGGGGTCATTTGGCTGGGAACAAGTTATCCCAAGATTAATCATTCTGGGATTAGTTTTTCTGGGATAAGTTATATCACATTAATATGATATAAATGGTGAAATACATTATCCTAAACTTGACAAAGATACCAAAATTTTATCCTTAGACTATGTTTTTATCCAATGACTATTTATTTTTATCCTTCACACCAAACGGTTCCTAGGTGCCAATTGCCTTTGAGATTTTAAATTTTTGTTACGCAACAACTATAATATTTGATCTGTGCACCCTTAAAATCGAAATTTGTTCTCTTTTTAAAAAAAAATATAGTTTAAATTCAAATTGTGGTTATGAAAGCTAAATAGCAATATAATAAAATTCTTGGTATGAAGCGGGTCATGATCAAACCCGATTTTAAACCCATTTAAGCTCAAAGTAAACTTGGGTGGGTCATGACTCAACCCAATTTTTAGTTCAGCCCATTTTAATCTCTCTAGTTTCAGTCTAACCCACCCATTTGACCTCCTATTCTATTATATTAGTAAATAACACACACATGAATATACAAATAATTCATTTAAAGTAAATTTTATTAGAATGAATAAATAAAAAGTTATTGCATAAAAAATAGAGAATTTTTTTGAAAATATCTCTAAAGTTAGCGTGAATTATTACTTTAGTCCCCCAGCTAATGATAGCCTTAAAAACACTCTTCTACTTGATTAAAGAATTTAAAAACACCCTCTTATACCACATGTCATCCAACCACGGGTATATGTGAAATTTTCTACTGATGTGGCGTACATATAGATAATGTAGTAAAATAAAAAATAAAAAATATTTAAATAACTAAATGCTAAAATTTATCAATTAAAGAAGAGAAAAACTTTTTCGAAAAGAATTAATCTTTTTCTTACCCTACCCTATCCCCTACTCAGTA